AATTTATTTTTATCTTTAGTGGAATAGGTCTACGGGGGAAACCATTTAAAAAAAAAACGCGTCAGCATTAGTATCTCATGGGTGACGTGGAAATCTATTGAAATATTTCCACTTAATAAATTTAAAATAAAAATTTATTTTTAATAAATTTTAATACATTTTTAAAATTTTAATAAATAGGGAAAAGAACCCACTCATAATCAGATAGTGTCGCTCCTAACGCTCGGCGGCGCTGGCCCTAGCGGCTGCGGCGCGCGCGGTAAGGAGAGGAAAGGAGGCGTATACCACGGAAATCGGCTGAAATGTTCAGACTAATTCCGAGCACTGGTATAATCGACGGATTAATTGGCGCGTTTGAAGACTGCCAATATTGCATAAATTAAATTATAATCTAGAGTCGAGATTCATTTAATTATCTTACCGTTGTCGCTCGTAAATTCACAGGTATCGTCCTCGTGTAGTAGCGTATACGTGGACGGCTCGGAGATTAGAGGTTCCAGCAACGCGTCAGTTCTCGTTAAATACGGCACATACACCGGTCTGGCGAGATTTACCGTGTGGATGCCCGAGTTCCCGCTGGAAGTGAGCGTCGGTGACACTCGGTTGAGCCAGATAAAGGCCTGGAAGGTACCGGAAGAGCACGTAACGGGCGCCAAGAGCAAGCGTAGCCTGCTGAACATGACGAAAGCCGAGGAGCAAACGTCCGTCGCGAAGGAGACGTCATCGGAATCGCCGGTGACCGCGCGAGCGAAGAAGAGGAGCGCCGTTGAGCTCGAGGACTCGATAGACGACACCTCGATGGACGTGGACGACTCGGACGCCCTCCTCGAGGAGGACGAGCACGAGGAGCGATACCGAACGAACGGAAACGATCACGGATGGGACACGATCAACTCTATCGATCGTAATCTGTCGCCGGCGAATTGTAGGTTGCGCTTCCAGCAGACTCCCGTCGAGGTGCACGCGCGATTCCTGGCGACCGATCACGATTCGGGCAGAGTTTCGCACTTCGTCAATCGTCGCACTTGGCTACGCGTCACCGACCTCGTGGCCGGCATGCTGCGTGTCTCCGACCCCAGAATAGCCACGCTTCTCCAGGGTAGGCTGGTCCAGGGACGCGGAGTCGGTCGCACGGAGGTGCAGGTGCTTTCCCCGATCACCGGTCGGGTCATCGGCGCGAAGGAAATCAGGGTCGGTAATGATCGCGTGTCCGTGACGCGTCTGTCCGTCCGGGTGGTGTCCGGACTTCAGCTCAGCATCAGTCCCGACACGGCAATCGAGAATGGATACGTCGCCGAGACATCGGTTACGAGGAGACTGACTGCACAATATCAGGTATGAGTAAATTAGTGATTGTTCGTTCTTTTATGAAAATCTCAAAAATAAACATATTTTGAGAAGAGGAATGTCACAATTCGTTAAAATAAAATTTTGATCGCTGATAAATCAAATCTGATTAAATAAATCAATTAATAAAAATATTTATTTTCTTTTATTCTATTCAATGTTAATTAATTTTTTTTTGGGGGGGGGATAAATATAAAGGAGAATATTTCAGAGAATTGAAGATGTTAGAATTCGTTATTTCACTAAATTTTCATTCTAGAAAAATTGAATTTCCAGAGATTGAAACAAAATTGCTTTAACTTAAGCTCTGTAAACTTGAAATGACCGTTGCGTTTATTAAATTAACAGGAAGGCCTGCTGGACATCGACGTAGAGTTCTCAGACGGCACACGTACACCCCTGAGAGAAATCGCTGTGAGCGATTATCACTTGTTGGTGGAGAGTCTGGATCCGGAAGTTGTGGCGTTCGCGCCGATGGTCGCCTCGCACCATCCTCGCGTCATTGCGGTCGGCGAGGGCCGCGGCGACTTACTGCGCGTCAGTCTGCAGCTGGCCGACTCCTGCCGATTGTCCGGCAGACGTTCGAGCAAAAGCTCCCAGAGGACGGCAATTACCGCATTGGCGAGCGCGTCGGCCAACGTCGAGGTGGATTTCGCTTCGAGCGAAGTGCCCAATCGACCAGAGTTCGTGCAAAACGACGGCGGTGGCACTGTTGGCTCCCACCATCACAAAGAACGTAACTTCAAGCGAGGCGAAATGGCACCTGATCTGCATGACATTCTCATCGGTAAATAGACTCTGTTCCCCTTTGCGGCTCTCTGTCTCTCTCGCTTCTTTCACGTTACGCCCTCTTTTTCCGTTCTTTTCTACGTTTTGCAACTGCTACGGTAGCGCACGGCGTGCACTTTGTTCCGCAAGTTTCTTAGCGGTAACTTTCTTTGCAAGACCATTTGGCTTGTACTCCGTAAAAAGTTTCGCCTGCCTGTTTATGCGTGGCTTCTCCCCGCGCCCAGCCCTCCGTAACCGATAGTTTTCCTCTCCTTGTGCTGAATGTCAAATGTATCTTCGTCTAAGAATAATTTGTGATGCAACGCGCTCGTTATTGAATAGAATACAGATCGTTGAAATACTTTACGATCTTTTTTATTTGACTCGAACTATCTGCTGCCATAGAAATCTCTTGAATGAGTTACGAAAAATGATCTATTTAATCAAGCGATTAACTCGAACTTTTCTCGTTCCAACGTGACGTTAAGATTCTGAATTCGAAATGTGAGAAAAGGGGATTAAAAAACGCTACGTATATTTCGATATCAATACATAGCTCAAAACGCATTCTACTTGATAGTGCTAGTGTTAAAAAAACTGCGGTTGAACACTTTAAAAGATCTATTTAGATACGAACCTTCTTGCTCTCATTTCCAAGTAATATTTTAATGTAAGCGCCACATTATTATGCATTATAGTATAGTGCCAAGTTGCAGTACACTGTGCCTGATTGTCGCGCTGAAAATGCAAACGCACGTTCAGCATCCTCTCGACTTTCGCATGCCTGGTAGCATGTCTAGCCGCCGTCTAGCTAGCGGGATTAAGGAGAAAAGAATTCTCGGCGGCTCTCTAACTCAGCACAAACACCCTGTCTCACTCTGTCCTCTCTCTCTCTTTCTCTCTCTTTGTTTTTTCTGTGCAAAGGGTTACCGCTGAAAGACGAGAAAGACGGGCACAAGCACGAGCCTTTGGTGCAGGCACGGCAGCATCGCACGGCTATAGCTAATGGCATGTCTTCAGGGGGTATGGGCGGCGTCGGCGTGCGTCACCATGGCGTCGGGGCGCGCATGAGTCCGCTCGAGATCGGGATGTACGTGCTGCTCGCGGCGTTCTGCTTCGCGATCGTTGTCTTTGTCGTCTCCTGCGTGGTGTACGCCAGCAAATTCAAGCCGCAGCCACCGGACTCACCGCTCAACGGCGCGGCCATACCGGTGCTCTCCGGAGCGGGCGCGAGGGCGCGCGCCGCTGCGAACCAGCTGGCGTCCGGCAGAAGACCACCGCGTGAATCGACCACCAACGCACACGACTGGGTATGGCTGGGTAGAGCGACTCTGGAACGAGCTGCCTGCGGTCCGCAACAGGTACATATACGTCGGCCAACACGATAATTCGTTAACGATTATGCAAATCGATAACTATCTATTGAGTCTGTCACATCTCAGTAGTTTAGATAGTGATAGTGGAAATAATATACAATAATATGAGGAAAAGTTGATGTTTTATTAATTTCTCAAACGATCGTCCATACTTTGTTCAAACTACGATTGTCAAGTATCGAATATAGAGAATTATTGATGTGAAATAATAATGAAAAGCCAATTTCAGTAAATACAATGTAATACTGATAGCAATTCAGCAAATATATCTAGGATTGAACTCGTGGACTCGTGTTCTCGATTAGATTCGATGCTATAAATATCTTTCAACGCGCGCGCATACAACTGAAATAGTGTTGAATCAAAACAAGCGGGATTTTATCGGATCGGTCTGATTGGAAACTCGGTTTGCGTTTACAGGTGCGCGTAACAAGTAATCCGCTGGCCGGTGAAGGTGAACCCGAGACCGAACTGGGCACATGTTTCGACAATCCAAACCACATCGAATTACCGTCTGCCAATCAACGGCCAAGCGGCGGTAGCAGTGCCATCGACACCACGACTTATTGCAAGAGGGACAGAGTAGCGCGAAATAGTTTCGCGGCCAAGTCCGCGGTCAAGCCGTCCGCGGTGATACCACCCACCTCTACGACGGCGTCGACGGCGACGTCGATGGCTCCGGCAATGATCACCGCGCGGAACGAGTAATTATGACTGAACGTTATATTTCTCCTTCCTTGTGCAGAGAATTCAATTTCCGCAGATTGCTTGTTTTTCAGCGAGGAAGAAAACCGTGTACAAAAGAGAAATTGTTGCCGCAACTTATTTTCACTCTTTTCACGACTTTAACGGAATAATATTGCTTATAACGGTAGCCTCGTAATCATACATAATTAGCATCGCGAAACTTCTTTGCAGTAACGATGATATCCCTCCGCCGTTACCGCCGCATGGAGTGCCAGCCGCGATGTCCACGACGGTGACCACAACGACGACGACGACAATCGGCACGAACAACACGAGCAACGGCAACAACGAGGACTACAAGCCGCCGGTGCCGCCGCACAGGAATACAGGGGTGACTGTGCGACTACCGGAACCACCGCGGAAGCATCGGCACAGAACGTCGAGCGGTGGCAGCGGCAGTCATCACGGAAACAATCATCGACACGGCAACAAATTACCGCAGCAATCGAACCACCACATAGTCAAAGCGCACGGGAAAACCAGAATGGACAACGCGAACAAACAGAACGGCGAGGAGGAGGAATTCGTGGAATTGGTAAATCACGACGACAATAGGCACGCCGCGAAGGACGCCGGAAGATCCCGAGAGATCAAGAGAGCGACCATAGTGGGTAATCCGATGTACTCGTCGTTTTCCACGTCCGCTGTTGTCTCCACCGTGAATTCGTCCACTCCTACCGGCGGTGCGGCCTCGTCCACCACCACGTCTCCGCCTTCCTCGTCGCCATCCGGCTCTTCCACCTCCTCCTCTTCCAGCTCTTCTTCCGCCTCGTCCTCCACCCAGGATCAGGAGGAATCGGTGGCGCTCGACGATCTCAATCTGGGCATGGACTACAACCAGATCATGCAGTACTTCGACAATTTGAAAGAGTCGAATGCCTAGGTAGGGCCGTTCGACCTCTTTGAAGGTCGAAAAGTAGTCAACGTCGATACGGAACACCGGGAGCCTCGCTAGTAGACACAGCGCGAAGCGTCGCGCTGATTACTTCGTCGAGCTTTTTCGCTTTCTATCTTGAGAATTCTATGTCGAGAATAAGTGACAGCTCGCTCCCGCTACGAACGAAGTTTTTCGCTACAAGGACGACGATGCCCCGGATGTTTCGTATTATAGACTATAATCTAGTCAGCTTCCTAGCAGCACATCAAGAATAACGCGCAAACATGAACACATATGCATACACATATATACGCTCGTATTAACGAAATTACGAAAGAAATAACTCTTTCGTACATAATTCATACAGTCTCTTGATAATTTATTACGACCGCCAACAGTTTTCGGACGCAACGGGTGAAAGTTCCTGAATTACGATTTAATTTGTCGCGACATGTTCCTGTTTTATCGCATCAATACATAAATAATCATATATAAAATATAATACGCGATAATAAGATGAAATTATGTATCATATCAATGTTTTATATTATAGTCTCACGCGAGAATGCATATTTCTACTACACTTTTTACCGTTTTTACAAATTATTATCAATTATGACGTTTCTTTTTCTTTTTTGCTGACTGACATTTCTGATATTTCTATTTCAAAATTTTCATTACTCTTCTTAAATAGCTTTAAACTTTGTCTCCACTGAACTGATAATGTTAATAGATTTAATTTATCGTGACGCGGTTTACTTTAGAAAGTATTATTCAAGTATTGCAATTGCGAAAACTTGCTGACGTAATAAATAGTCGGAGTACTGCTCGTACACGCCAGAGGCTTCAAAAAAAAAAAAACTGACTGTCGGTGGCCAGTGGGGTAGGTAGATTGCTCGCTCGATGGCGAAAGCGTCACACAACGTTTCGACATTCCGTTTCTCGTTGCGAGCTTCCCTTCGTTTTGTGTAGGATCCTTGTCGATCTTCACTGCCCTGCGCCATCCTGATCTCTCGCTCAAGTCCTTCCTCCGCTATCACGATTCCTCTCTTCGTCGGATTACAAGAGACGAGCATCACCACTTGGTTTCGTATTTTAATCGCGCACGTCTTCGACAACGCGTGTACAATATATCGCGGAAGATTTTCCACCTGTGCCATCTTCGTACGACTTTCGCGGATTTTCCACATCTTTCCCGTCGAGTTTCCGAAGAGACGTTATTCTGAAATTTATTTCAGATATCAAAAATTTTTACATTTGATTTTTACGTTACGTGCATAAAAAGAAAAATGTACTATCACATCTTTTTCTGCTTCTCTTCTATCGATATTTGATCTTTAATACTCATATCACGTCAATATGTCGATACTGTCAACGATAAATTCGTTGAATAATGGACTGTCAATCAACCAGTCGAAGTCGATTTGCGACGCGCGATTAAAATATGACGGCGTGTATGTTTGTTTCCTGAACCGGTCGCATCGGAGGAGACATTTATTCAATCGACCGTACGTCGTAATGTTTGTAAATTTTGCTTTGTAAGACTGTGTACATATATATATTATATATATACGCGATAGCGCATGTTAATTATGGACTTACAGATTTAAAGTTACATTTGTGTATGGCTAATAGAGAATTGCAAATCGTTCCGCGCGTCGTTTGACGGGAACACGTCGAATCGAACGAGACAACGTCGACGGCAAAATACGTGTATACATTATGCACACTACAATGCTCGAGCACTGCTCTCTGATATCGCTTTTGATTTGCCCTCCTCTCGCGAATGAAGTCTCTCGAAAGGACTCCACTTCTCACCTGAGGCTCGTATTCCACGAATCTTTTTGGGTACGTCGCGTATATATATGCGTATTGCGATCAACAATTTTTATTATGCCGAAAATCGCTGCGCGTATTTTCATCATGAGTACGTCCACACGCGTGTGTGACATCGTTAGCGAGATCAATATATCGTAAAGTATCTAAGGGGGTACTAATAATTGAATATAACATATACGTATTGACGCGTACTTCGGTACGGTATCGAGATACGGTGTCTTAATTAAGCGCGTTTTTGCTTTAAAAATTTGTATCTAGGTACTATATCTGCTACGAGATAAGGTAACATAACATGTATATATATATTTGCCATATCAGGTGTATAATTGTATATTTATCATAAAAAAAATATTATTCGGAATATTGAAGTTGGTCGAGACGTTCTGTGTCGATGTGACGATGTGAGGAAACTATCCTACTCTTCTTAGTAATATATTTCTTCAATTTCTAATTTATTTACAACTATTGACCTGTTACTTGCATTAATATTTCAAGTTTGGCAATATTCGAAGAACCAAGAATATGTTTCGAAATTTTTAATATCCGTTTCATACATACCTTAGGTGCTATTTCGAAAAATACATGTATTATTGTACAAGCATAATTTCATCATATATTCACGTTTGTACCTAGATACAAAAAAAAAACCATGTAGTCGATACGTTAACTATAGTGTGTGTAAACTAAGTGAACATTACTCTTCAAAGATTTATCATCAATTCACCGAGCATTCTCTTTTTAATACTCATTAATCAATCAGTAACGAAAAGTATTGGTTTATACGAATAAAAATAAAGCACATATTTTTTCCTAGCAAAGAACAATCCTTGTTTGAAAACAAAAGCACGAAGCAAAAACATATCCTATATTCCATGTAAATTCTATTTTTAGTCCTATAATTTATTCCACTTTTATTTTTTATTCGTATAAACCTATTAGAAATGCGTAACTATCGAATATAATCACAACTATTGAATATAATTTTAAAATCTAAAGATACTTTTTTACAAAACAATTCCTTCGCAAGCGATAATTAGCAAAGTGTGTTTGCATAGTTTATACATGCTTTTACTCGTACTCGTAACAGCGTGGAGAAAGAAGGGGAAAGAAAAAAAAATCCCATCCGTTCTTCCTGGTCGACTAGAGTAGTTACGAACTCGCTCATTGTTTTCCATGAATAAAACTTGATCACCGCGAAATCACGATCAAGAAATACGAGGCAAAGACAACCTGGGCGTGAAGTGATCAATCTACTCCAAACCAGGAAATCTATAACTGTGTACGCATCTAAGGACTACGTGTCTAAGTATGTATGTAACTCTGTAAGTTGTGTATTAGCACATCGCGTGGAACAATAGTGATCCATCGGCGGCGAACGGTGTTTGGCGAACGAATAAGCGACGTGCGCCTCGTTGTCGTAAAACACACAGTGAAACGAACATTGTGACACGGTTGCGTAAACATTGAAGAAGAATCGGAAACAACGTAAGAGTACCCCGCCGAGAATCTAGTCTTATAGCGTAATTATATATTATAATATATATAGATATATATATATATATAATATTAATTAATGTGAAGTGCGATGTACGTTGCCTTCATTTGATGATAATATGTATCTTTCGATTGCCCCGCGGTCACCGTCGATGCGTTAAGCTTGATGTACATACAATCAACTCTTAACTGGCATAATGGCGAAAACGCATTATCTATCCAGACATTTTTAGAATTGCAAAAGGAAAAAAATGCATAAGATATGTCCACAAAGATTAAACAGTTTTATCTTGCAGAAAAATGGAAACGACAAAAAGTAGGAAGATTATTTTTTTTGTTAATAACGACAAAGAATGTGAATTCCGTGCTATTTCTTTTCTTTCAAAATGGACGAAGAAGCGAGACTCATCGATGAACACGGCGTATGAATCGATCATATCCGAATATCAAGCGAAACAGCGCTACGCTAATCTGTAATTTGTAACTATTATTTAACGAATTTGATATAAGGACATCTTCAGTGATTATCATGATGCCATAGCGTTTACTTAGTCCTACTAATTGTAAGAACGATCGGAGTCAGTGGCTTGTATAATAATCATCGTGTGGTATATACATACATCATATATACACGCACACACATAATATACACATATATATTGAATGAAGTCTCGTGTACATACGCGCTTCTCGTTTCACATCATCCAGATGAATGATATCGCGCTTTTGTAGTGTCAAAATGCTTGTCGCAAATTAAAGCATCGGAGTATATCAATGTCATCCAGTGATTCCCGACTTTTGATTTTTGTGGTTTTACAGTAAATCTCATAAGATTTACAGCCTCTCATATAGTCATTCATTATTTTATTCATCTCTTTTGTCATCTATCTTTTTTCCCTCTTTATCGTATTTGATTTATTAGACAATTTTTCAAAAAATAAATTTATTGCTGTAATGTATGTCTTAAGGATGTTTATCAACCGTACAAATACTAGCAATACTAAGAGCACAAAAAGATGTATGGCTTCACAATGATCAATGCTAGATCACTCGGGAATCATTGGTAATCTTCTCACGAAGATCCCTCCTCTATCCGATATATTTCCCACGATTTATCCGATTCTATGCGAAAATTCCTGTCCACAACCAATATAATATATGATAGTGGACGTGCTCGTTGCATCTGCCCTCCAGTCCCCTCTTTTCTGAGTTCTTACCCACTAGAAATATAATAGATTCATCGCAACGCATCGCTGACTCTGCATCCGCACACATTCCTCAGACACTATGTCGCTCTATTTACAATAAGTGTGATAAAACGCGGTACTGAAGAAAGAATGAAGGAAAGCGAACAGAAGCCGTAATTAGCAATTACTAACTGCGCTCGCAACGACGACGTTCGAGCGACGTTGTTAGCAAATCGACGCCGACGATGGCAATGGTGATCGCGTATACGACAATATCCGATGACACAAGTGTTCTTCGAGTTAGACGACTCTGATAAAAGATGATTGATGTATGGAGATTTGTCGATGGTTTCATTATCCCGATAAGGCGAAAAACAAAGTACAAGATTTTGTTTATATCAAGCGATAATACACTCTCCCTGATTCCAAAAGCTCGAGAACATCTTGTTCATTTATACTGTCGGAAGCATTATATCAGCACAGAATATCGGAATCATTTCATGATGTCGGATGGCGCACAAAGACGGTTTTTCAACGTTTACATTTTATCTTAAAAACAACACGGTATTTCTTTCGAACAAAGAGAAGACACTCTTAATCTTATTTCCTCTTTCCTTTGTTGTACAGATAGAATTTTGTACTTTATAAAACTTATTCTAACAAAGTTGCAGTCACAAATTTATCAAAGCGTTGGAAAAATAGCGTCTCTAAAACGTCGAGTCCGGAATTATGAAATAATTCCTCTCTCATTATTGAAAGTATTATTATCATGTCTATTGCTATGCTATTACTATTATTACTTGTACTACTATTATTATATTATTGACATCGTTGCTGTTGCTGTTATTGTTACTGGAATTGTTGCTGCTGCTGCTATTGCCATTGCCATCGTCGCGTCACTCACATGTATCCTGAAGACATTATACGTCATTGACGTCGTCGTTGCTGTTGTCTTATCGTCGCCGTGGCCGTGGTCGTTGTCATTATCGACCATTAATGTTGGCGTGCGCCGCCGAAATGCTAATTATAACAATAAGATACGACTATCGCCTACTCAATGTACAATATGTAGTATTTACCTGTTGTTACCATCAAACCGTCATCAAAGATATATAAAAATGTAATTGTAACATATCGAGCTTCTCGTATCACTAAGTCCTTTTTCCTCAAACTCTGACCTGTATTCTCGTTCATATCAGTTATAACTGACTAATGTTTAGCGATATACTTTCTCGATTTGTTTGTTTTGTGCTAGAATTTATAAAAGAAAAAGATGATATTAATACAAACTAATTCGTGAAATAAATTTAAGAGATGTATAATTATAATTACAGCATAAAAGTAGAATTTTTGTTTAACTTTGTAATTAATTTTTTATATATAGTATACAAAAAATAAATTATCACTCGATGTGTGTACATTATGTTGTTTATATTAGTTCAAAAAATACGCAACTTCTGAAATATTCTGTATCTAAAGTACCAATTTTTTATTAATCCTATTCAAAAATTAACTTTTTTTTTTATTTTAATTTCTTCTAAGGCAATATTAATGTTGCAAATAATATTTTTTATTTATGTTTTGATATAACTACAATAAAATATTCAAATACATCAATGTGAATAATTATGTAAATAATACATCTTATTAACATATAGTAATATTGTTTTAGTTACATAATTATATTATTTCTGTTATAGAAACAAATATAATCAATATAGAAATTTTGTTTCATTAATATAATTATTATTTATTAAAGAAATTAATTTAAATATTTATTATCTAGTGTTTTTAAAAAACAGTGATGTCTATTGTTGATTATATATTTCTAGTCATTTAATTCGTAAAGATTTTACCATAGTTTAACAAAAGTAAATTCACAAAAATCATGATATAAGTAGTCAGTAGATATAATTCATATACAGTGGAAAATGATTCAGTATGTAATATCGATAATAATATCGAGATGAAAAGAACCTAACCTTACTAACTTGTACAAGGTGTTTAAAAATGGAGAAATTTTCAATTGTATTTACTTGCTTATAAATTTTGTCATAAACATCTTACAAAATAATTAGAATAGTTGAAACAATTTCTTTGTTTACTCAGAATCATTTACGATTCTTTTATATTGTAGATATAATTTTAATCTAAAAGCCATACTTTCATAACCTAAACATGATGTTAGCATCCAGGATCGCAGAGCGAATTTTACTTTCCAGTAAGTTTTCAGTATTACATATTTAAGAAAATGAATTATATTAATATAATAACTCTTTGTTTACTCTTGATTTTCTGACATGTTATTATTTTTATAGCATGGCACTCTACATCGGTAACATCAGTAGCTGGTTTAAAATGTTTTCCTCCACCAATAAAATTCGGTGGTAAGCATATGTATAATTTTTTTATCATAAATGTACAAGATATCAAATAATTTGAAGTTGTAATTATCAGATATTGAATATCCTGAGCGACGAAAACTCAAGATAGTGGAAAAAGTTCCGCAATATCCACAAAGCTTACGTCCTCCCAAAATGCAAAAGCGAATCAGATATATGCGAGGCCCAGAGGAAGTGCACAATTCTCTTCTGTATAGACAATACGGTATTATTGTAAGTCTGCATAAAACTGTATTGCGTTTAGTTACATAAAAGTTATTACATAAATGTGCATTATTTTCTTGAATTGCCACAGGCTACAGGAGGAGGTAGATTAAAATATGGTCACTTTGAGATGATACGTTTAACACTTAACAAAAAACTCAATCAACAAACAATGTTCAGCATTTGGCGTGTGGATGCACCATGGCAACCAGTTACAAAAAAGGTTTGATAAATATAATTGATTGAATATAAAATAAAATATAATTTTTTTTTAATAATAATTATTGGTTTGTAATGTAGGGGCAAGGACAACGTATGGGCGGCGGTAAAGGTTCTATTGATCACTATGCAACTCCTATCAAAGCAGGACGTGTCATTGTAGAAGTTGGTGGTCATTGTGAATTTTTTGAGGTATCTCAATAATGTACTATGTCTTTCATTTCTCAAAGCACAGTAGTTTTTATAATAGTAATATATCATTTTTAAGATATTCATATGTATAATATGCTTTCAAGTTTTTTTGACAACTATTGAATAGACAAAAACATGACAGGATCTTAATATACAAAATTCTTTTTTTAGGTCAAGAAAATATTGACTCAAATAGCGAAACAATTACCATTCAAGGCCGAAGCCGTAAGTCAAGAAATATTAGATAAAAAAGCAGCTAAAGAGAAATGGATGGAAGAAAACAATCAGCATTTGTGGACGTGGAAGTACATGGTTCAAAATAACATGCTTGGTTGCTGGAAATGGATATCACCAGTTGATAAATTATGGTTTAATAAATACTTGTAAATATGTATATGTTATATATAAAAGATAAACATTATCATAAACTAAAGCGTTTTTTATTTTCTCTTTGTGAAATACATAAATAATTTATCCAAACTTTTTTAAAAAACGTTTTTTCTATAAATTTTTCTATATTTATTTCTATCAATAGTGGATTTACATTTTTGGAGATCGAAAATTAATATTTCTAAAACTTTAACTATAATATTGTATTTGTCTTTTGAAATTAGCGCCACCACGTCAAGAAAGTTGGGTTGAACTTGTGCATATACTAACATTGGTATGTACGTTCAAAGATTCTTGAGGTTAAGATTGGGAAGGTATGTATAAAAACGTATTACTTTTAAATATCTTGTTATAATACATAAAATTCAAATATTATTTATATAGAACTTTATTTTATATATGTATACTGTGTATATAAAATGTGATTTGTAATATATTTTTAAAACATTAATTATTTCAATAAGCATATTTTATTTCACGATAATATAATTAGATAAGAAATAGTATTATTAAAAAATATATTATAATTTCAGATGACAAAACTACTAGAATGGCTATTCTGTTTTACTGTGATTTCTGGTATATGGTTTGCTGTGATTACAAGCAACTCTACCTTTGTCAAGGAATGGCATAAAACTATACTTTCCCTTCCGATTGCTTCCTTAGTCTTGTTTGGTTTGTACACGGTTACCGTCGTTTTGTACAGAGTATTCACTTTTAATACATGTGAAAGCGCAGCTGTTGAACTCCAAAAAGTTAGTATCTTTTCTTTTTTTTATCAAAATATTTTTGTTCTCTAACACTATTATCATCTAATATTATTATTGTCATTTTTGTTTTTAGCAAATAGAAGAAGCTAGGAAAGATCTTCAGAGCAAAGGTGTAATATTGTCAAGAAAAACAAATACCCCTCCAACTTCGTAAAACTTTTATATATAAAATATAACATGAAACATTGATTTTTCAGTCTCATACATCTGTGCATTATTTTTTGTAAATTTATATGGATATATATAAATGTATGTGATTATTCTAAACATAATGTTATAAACTATGCAGTGTTACGGAGTTCTTTATACTCCAATATCTTTATGATTCATCAATATAACAAATAAAATTATATTTGCTTTACATACGTTTACCTGCAGACACACAGAAAAGACTATTTGAAAAATATTTTTCTTTTTTAAGAATTATTTATAAGCAAAAATACAACAAACTCGCTTGCATTTTTGTAAATCGTAATTTATTCATTTATGCTATGTATTACAAGTGTGTTGAGCACACAATGGAGGGTATGTTCTTTTTTAACAGCAGTGTTTTCCTTCTATTAATAATTTTTCTATATTTATAAAAGAAAGGAGGGGGGAAATAAAATATGAGTCAGCATAACAAACAGCTTGAAGTTTTATGCATTGTTACTAAAATTCTTTAATGAATAATTTTTCTCTATTCTTTTTGTACCAAATATAAGAGTAATGCTATTCTTTTAAATATTTATTATTGTTTAGTAGTTCAATCAGTAAGTAACTGTATGGTACAAATTTAAGAAGTCAGAATCATTTGCTTATGTAACGTGCATAAGTACGTACATATGTATGTAGGCAATTATTATATTTAATTATAGGCAATTAATATTTCTAAGTCAAATTACTTTATTGTGAAAAAACATTAATTGTTATCCACAAAAAATGCAATTGGATGTATTTTATTTGGAATATGATTTGCATTATTGTTCTATCCTTTAATTATAATAGATTTCACCTTAATATACACAAAACAATGAGTATTGTTCTTCAAGTGCTTTACGATTATTCAGTAAATGCATGTTTCAGTTGTTTTATTTAAATTATTGATTGTAATTGGTTTAATAATCAAACAATATAAATAGCTTACTATTAGTAAAAACTTAATAATTTGATGTTTATATTGAAATCGGAATTATTGAGATCAAATAAATTAAGAACGAAAAATACATATATGGCAAACTACTTTTTTTTTGTTTTCTGACAAGTTGTTACAGTTTATCAATTTGCATCGACATGCAAAAAAGCTTTCAGTATTGCTTAAATCAATTTTATGGTATTGTCGTTTAAAAGTAAATCTCTGTACATACATACATAAATACGAATATATGCAAGTACACATTCATGCACATACACACATACATACATACATATATAAATGTACGTATGTACGTATATACATAATTATATATATATATAAATATATATATTGCCTGCATATATGTTCCATAATTTCTATATCAGAAAGCCCAATAAATTTATAAAGTATAGTCATTATACCTATATGTAGACAATTAGATATGTATAAAACATACCTGTAACATGAGAGTGAACATGCAATTTAAATGCTCGACCCTCGATATATAATTACTGTAGAATATTTTCCACAGTATCTTGCAACATATAGTAGGCTTTCTCATATAAAACCACAATTATATTGCTCCATATATGTTGAAAAAACAAAATTCTTATGGTAGCACTTGTAGGCTTGTGAGAATGGATTTTATAACATCGTCTGTTGTAAGCAACAATTGTTTCTCTTATAAACATGTGTTACATGTGTTAAATGAAATGTTTTTATATGTATGAAACAATGCTCAAGAGAATTGGCATATACGTAATGTTATGGTTTGTCTTCCAATCGTTTACCAAACACACCAGGATTTTATCTACACAACAAATAAAATAGCATAGATATTGTTGTATACCTATATACAAAGTAAAGATGATTATTGTAAGGTCAAAATGATAATGTGCAATTATCCACTCTTTGTCAGTCCTTTTCTTTACTTGAAACATTGCGACAAAATCAAATGATCAAGTGATTCAGTCGTCGAGATTTTGCGAGAGTAGGAAGTTAGCGGCGAGATTTTCATTTTTTTCACAGGCGAAGTACGCTTGTACGACTAAATGTTCTGGGAAACCTAATGCCTTCAACCTCTCGATAGCATCCCTATCCTGTGGCGTTATCTGAATTAAACCGGGTCCTACGCCTGCCGCTGCTCCCGTACCAGCTCCACCGTTTACAGCACCTCCTGCTGCGGTTGCACCTGCGGACGCTATACCTCCTCCAGATGTCGGCAAAACTCGCGCCCCTGCGCCTGTGGTAGATTCCACTGTACAAGGAAACAAATTTTGTATAAATTTAAATAATATGGTATTTAAATATATAAATTTAAATAGATATTTTTTTCAACTATAATGTATGATAATTTTTAGAGCAGCCGAACTAACCAGGTTCGTTGAGCATGCGTACAAACGCCTCTTGATTTTGAGAAATTAGCTGCAAAAGAGCCGGGTTGGTGGATCCGATTTGCTGAAGAAGATTGTTCAGTAACTGTGGATTTTGTTGAATGACTTGACGCATTTGTTGAAATTGAGGTTGCATACGCAAGAAAGCTAATGGATCTTGACTCTGATCCTGAAGTTGTTCTTGAGCCTCCGGAGGATCTTCAGGTGGATCCTCAAAGAGTTGCGCTGGTATACCTGTTAGAAGATACTCTACAGCTCTATCAGGATTGTTGAAACTCGCACGTAACGCTTGTACGACCTGCTCACGTTCATATCTGATACAAACGATAAAAATATCATATAAGTATCATTAATAATTATATAGCACAAGCGTCATCTTGCATACGTACCCCATATCCATGATGTTGTTTACCATAGTATTATAATCCTCTCCCATTAGCAAGGCACTTTCTGCTTGACCAGCCGCTGGTGTAGCTGCTGCGGGTTGCTCTTGCACATTACTAGCTGCTTGTGATGTATCTTGAACATTAGGATTCAAACTAGGAGATTGCGTGGTCGCTGAGCTATAACAAAAATAAAAATATATCACATACACAAATTTTTTACACAATCTGAAAAAACAGTTTATATTCTTAACATTCGATATTTATCCTCTGTATCTGTTGCACATTATAACAATTAATAATCGGTAAAATATAAATTTCATGACATTCATGACATACAGTATATTCACTGTGCTTTACATGCAAAGTAGTACAATATTTAAATTACCTAGAAGTCGATTCTTCTTTCTTATCACTTTCCACACGCTGCTCTTCATTTGTCTTGGGAGTAGCAAACGTAGTACTGGCTTTAGGCTTTGTTACCATAACAACTATAAACTTCTTCTCATCAATATTATATTCTGTTAAGGGCTGCTCATCTGCTAATATCTTCCCTGTAAGTGTTCGTACATTATCAGAATCTTAAGATTAAAAACTTTAATTTTTTTTTTCCACACGTCCAAACCAGAAACATAACCTAAGAGCATTTTTGCAAAATCATTCTTTTAACTAGAGGAAAAACACATGTTAACATATGCACACTACACAATAATTAATAATTATAATACAAAATGAACTTTGCTGTATTACGAAGACGCCGGGCGATTTCGGATAATGTTCCGGATGAATTAGGTTATTTAGTTACATTACTTACCAGCGTAAATCAATTTTTGATGTTCGACAGGGAAGCCTTTTTGCGTTTCAATCTTCTCTTTCAGATCTTTGACCTAATAATAATAAAAGTATATATTTACTCCGTCAACAATTCTAAAAAGTCAATTTTCTCGCTAATCTCGACCAATTTTACTTACAGTTTGCGACGAGTCGATCTCTATCGTAAACGTTTGTTGCTGTAAATTTTTCAGAGTTATAATCATATTGCCGAAGTAATAAGTTCGCTGTGCGTCAAGCAATTGCAAAATTAACGCCGAAAGTCTTTCTCGATAAGAATAAAACGGTGTTTTGGTAGAGATTTTTTCGGTGATGAGTCGGCACTGCCTTAAACAGCTCGCAAGCGTATGTATGTATAACCTGTGACAGTGTGCGGAAAACATATGATGATGGAAGAGCCAGCAACGACTACCAACTACTGTTCCTTTTAGACCGACATTGTAGTACGCGTCAGCCTGTTGGACGTTCTAATTGGCTATACGACAGGATATTCCCAGCACTTTTAAAGAATCTAAAGGTTTATTCTAATGAAATATATAATGCAAGATTCACACTGCATCCGTATTCATACATACACATACATCCGATGCTTAATAAGAAAATTTAAAATGCCAATTTTGATTTCAAATTTTCGACGGCATGCCTGAACGATTTATAAATAAAAATATTACAAAGTGTGATTACAATAATTTTTTAACCAATACGCATGATGCACAATATTTAGATATGGAACAAACTTTAGATGTGAAGATGTGACGCAAAGTGTAATATCGACTTTACAATTCATTCGAAACGGCGCGTCGAGATCTGTCACAATTTTTTCGCTTTGTCAATTTGTGAGTTATCGTCTCATTCGAATTTAATGTTAGAAAGATGTGATACATCATGGTGTCAATAGATTCTTACGATATGAGAAAAGTGCTCGAAGAGCGTATGAGAGAAGCAGCTCGAAATGGCAACACGGACGTTTTACAAGACCTCGTGGACATGGGCATTGACGTTAACGCACGACAACCTGACAACGGATGGTAGTTATTTGTCATTATCCGTCACCTCAGTTTTGATATCTCCATAAAAATACAAATTCGCAAATTTACTTTTCACAATATTTGATCTTTGACGCTGTATTGTATAAAACTTTTTTGTTTGAAATATTTATTAAAAGCAATAACTTACATTTTATTTTCTCTATATGAAAAATTACATTTTAATAATACCAATATATAAAATAAATTTAAGTATCTCGATATATATTTAATATTTCGTTCAATCTTCATTTATTTGTGCTTTTTAAGGACCGCTCTACATTGGGCATGTAAAAAAGGATACTTGGATGTTGCCGCCTTACTCTTGAAGAATGGTGCTGATAAAAATCTGCGATCTGAGACAGGCGAAACTCCGGTATCTCTGTGCATCAACCAACAAATTCTGCATCTTCTTGATACAAGCATCACATCATCTTCAGATGGTTTGATACAAATTAATACAATTCCTTTAATCACTTGACAGTCACTTAAATCAAATGTGATAAAGTATTAATAAGGTGTTAAGTGTCATTGTAAAATGTACATTTTAGTATCATTATCATCATTGAACATATGTATATAGTTACGGCATTTGCAAGAATTAATCTATAATATGATTGACATTTTTTTATGAAAACAATTAGAAAATTGTAACACATGACAGTCAAGTGATTACCATTATAATGCAGTATGCATAATAAAACATATATGGATATTTCTAGAATTGGTATTGAAAATTCGGATCGCTAATGCAGCAGATCCGGATTTTGTGGAAGTGGAATTGTCACGGACCGACCTGACATACCGGGCTCTATTATACCTATGTTGCATGGAGCTAGATCTCAAGCCACAGCAAATTCAGAAGCTACGAAAATTGCCTAACACCAGACTGAGAAAAGACAAAGACATTCAGAGACTTCAGAACTTCCAAGAGATTGAAATAATCACAGACACGACAAATATGTATAAAAGCATGCAGAATATCAATGGTACTGCCAACAGTCTACCGCCGTTGCCGGCTAACGGATATCAAAGTATATCCAAAAAAGATCAGACCATTTTGTACTGACCACTCGCATCAGGAAGAGATCCTTCCTCTTAGTTTTAAATATTTACAAATTAACACATTACTCAAGTTGCAATATTGGTCAAATATACGGTACAATAGAAATATAATATTTAATGTTGCTTAAGTCACAGTTGAATATCTACATTGTGAAGCGGATGATGTCAAATAAAGATCTCTTGTGCAGCTCTCTCACAATTCACATTTGATAATGTGACATAACAGATATAGAATAAAGTGTTTAAGATAAAAACAACGAGGTAATTCTATGTCGTCGATAATTTACAGTTTTCTGATACTCAAAATTATCTTAATAATTATTATTAATAATTAATGTCATATTCAATAGTTGCTCCCAAAGATGAAGTTGCTTTGTTTGCGACTTGCAGAAAGGAAAAAGAAAAGAAAGATTATGAACCAACAGTAGAACATTACAAAAACTTGTTGAACAAGCACAAATGTTCTCGTGTGAAAACTGAATGTGATCAATTTGAATTGAAGAGAAGGCTTGTAATTATTTATTATCTTTATTAATTGTTATTAATTGTTATTCGTTTTTATTCTACACGTTTAATATTAGCCTTCGCAATATGGATGTTCAACCGTAATATATATATATTTTATTTATAAAATACACATATTACAAATTTAGAAATAGCATTTTTGTAATTGTTTTTTTACTAGATTTAAAATAAAAATAACGAGATAATTCTATGTCTTAATTTTCTATTTTTTATGCATTTTGAGAATAACTTCACCGTCAGGTATAATGGTGATTGTGTTTTTAGACACGAATGTAGACAGCTTATCTTCTACATCCTGATAAACTTTCGGTCTTTTCGGTTGTATCACAACTACAAATGGATCAAAATTATTTTTCTTACCTAAAATTTATATAAATTTACAAAATATACAGAAAATAATAAATTAATAAGTTTTTGGATGAATCTACATCAGGATCTAGTAATTTTCGCTTTCGTAAAATTTTCGAATCTGAATTATTTTGCATCATCCCCTATTGTCTTTATTTTAATGAAAAAAGAAATAAATCTTGACTAAAAATGATTCTGTGCCGAGAGAGAAAGAGTTTAAGGGGCGTTGCTTATTCTGTTTATCTTAGGTGGCTTGCGATATCCCCTTCATGCTGCTTGCTTCTTGCGTTTCAAATCTGGCCACACTCGCCACACTACTTGCACCATCTATTTCCTGTATGTTCCTGTTAACCACATTTCAGTATTCTTGCACGTGATCCGTAGTGGTTATGGTGAGATGGTCAATCTTTTAACAAAAATATTTTATAATAACGATCGTAATATTGAATGTATTACTTTAATTACATAAGTTAATTATCCTGAACAAAATACTGCTTCCTAAAAAATTTCTACAAAGAAATAAAAATGTACTGGCTTTATTTTTAGACGAATATAGTGAATCTATGAAGTATCGCGTGGTGACACACACAATAATTAAGGAAGAAAAAGGACAGTGGAAAGAGAAAAAAAGTACTATCGTGTATCGATACAGATATATCCATTAAAATAAAGACAACAGGGATGACGCAAAAAAATTCAGATTTGAAAATTTCGCGAAAGCGAAAATTAACGGAACCCAATGTAGAAGATTCATCCAAAAACTTCAATTTAAAAAACTTGTCGAAAGAACACATTTTGCAGTGCATATCTGCAGTTTCTCAGATAACTCAAAAAGAGTTAAAAGAAAAAAATCTACTTCTTGCCGATGATGAAGTGCAACCCATATTTATTCAAGTGACCTGTATGAGAGTCCCAAAAACACCTAACAGACAAATGAGGATGTAAGTAGACGTATATAATGGATTTTTTTATGTGCTAATTTGATTGTTTAATTTTCTCTACTTTTGGAATGAGAAATAAAGCTACATATGCATATAAGAAAATCTCTAATTTTGAGAAATAGTCATAAGAATTTTTGATGTTTTGTTTTATTTAAATTAATCTTAGTAAATTTTTAGTTTTTTTATAATTAAAATTTTACATGATTATACCTTGTAATTGCCAATGGATCCTTATGAGATTCATATTATTGTGATTATAAAATTCATAATGATAATACTTTATATGTACAAAAATATTGCAGTATTTCTGATGAGATTTTAGTATTCTCGTTTTACTGTTTATAGATTATTGCCGTATTCAATAGTCGCTCCCAAAGATGAAGTGGCTCTGTTTGTTTGCGACTTGCAAAAAGGGAAAAAAAAGGATTACGAACCAACAACAGAGCATTATAGAAATTTATTGGACGAGCACAAATGTACTCGAGTGAATGAGATAATACCGATGAATCGTGTGAGAACCGAGTATGATCAATTTGAATTGAAGAGAAGGCTCATAGCTAGTTATGATCACTTTCTTGTCGATGGCCGCATTGCCGGCCATATATGTCATCTGTTAGGAAAGCAATTTTTCAAAAAACGGAAGTTGCCAACTTCTGTTAGAATAGATAGCAAAGACTTGAAGCGCGAGATTGATCATGCATTGAGAAAAACTAGCATGCATCTTCATTCTAATGGTGACACACATTTGATCCAAATAGGAAACACCTCTATGAGTGAAAAAAAAATCTTGAAAAATATATTGGCTGTCTGTAAAAATTTGTCTGAAAACTATCCTGGTGGTTGGCCAAACATACGAGCTCTTCGATTGAAAACTGCGAAAAGTGCAGCATTACCTTTTTATATTAGTTTAAGTAAGTTACTGAAACAGAAAATTATTCAATGTATCAGTGATGTAAAAGTGTTACTGTATATTTTGTAAATTTATATAAATTTATAAATTGTAGGTAAGAAAAATGACGTTGATCCATCTACAGTTGTGGTACAGCCAAAAAGACCGAAAGCTTATCAGAATGTAGAAGATGAGCTGTCTACGTTCCTGAGTAAAAACACAATCATTGTTAAACCTGGCGGTGAAGTTCTCCTCAAATTGCACGAAAAGCAGAAAAAACAGAAAAGTGTAAATTAAAAATTACTTTCATAAAGTGAGTTTTTATTGTAATTTTATATATACATAACACAATATTTGTCGCTCACTTTACACACTTTAAATGTAATTAAATCAAATACATTGAGTATGATAAATTGATTGATAGCAGTTTTTATGAAAACATTGTTTGTCGATATAATTTGATATAATTTTAGATTTATAAAATAAAGAGTAAAACAAAATTGTTTAAATTTATTTGAATATCATTTATTATGTACTTTTTTTCGACGAAGCAAAGCTTGTCGCTTGACAAAAGTTGCTGTATCTGCCGATAAAAAATGATCACAATATTTAAAAAATGTATCGATATTCTCATCATTTTTCGATTCCTTAAGACATTTTTTCAAAACTTTATTTTCTTTTTCCAATTTTTTTAAAGCGCTCTGTAATTTAGCTTTTTGAGAAACATAGAAAGACAGTGCTAGTGGCGTTTGCACTTGTTTATCAACGGTTAATTTTTTTTCTGCTTTTTGATGTCCAAAGTTGTCTAAAACTGATAGATTGAGTTTGCTTTTTTGCGATAGAGATATAGACGGTAATTTAGATGGCATTTGCTGATAAATATAGCTTTTTCCACCGATGTCGATAAAAGTGATCGGTTTTTGACAAACAATCCTGTTTGTAGATGAAGATTTCACAGCTGTTGTAGAGCATAAAGTTGTACTGTGTTGCGAGACATCCTAAAAATAATATTTTGTTAAAATTTGTTTTCCAGATAAACACATTGAAATTTTCTCTTTAGAAGAAATATTTTCTTTGACATTCACTAAAAAGTACCTGTGGTTCTGAAACGTTTAATTTAGTTTCAATTTCTGATGTTTTCAATGATGTTTCTGATTGTGCCAATTGTCCACTTAGAGTCATTCTTGATTCACTTGGCTTATTATACCTCTACAAAGTTAGACACATAATGACAATAACACATTCGATTCGACCAATGTATTATTACAGAGATAAAGAGAAAAAATAATGTTACCTTTGTATAATCATGATCAAAAAGCACAGTCTCTAATGGGCTATGTAAATTATCTGTCGGCCAGATTACTCGATTCTGAAAAATAAATAGAATTGTGATAATTAAATTTGAAATATTTTCTAATAAATTTTTGCAGTATAATTTAAATTACTCGTTAATAAGCTTTGTATTTTCTAAAAAATTGTCTTTATAAATATTGAATAACAACATTTTTTTGTTACTTTTTATTTAATTCAATAAAAATGTTACTTGAAAATGATACTTACATCCATATTAATGTTTTCCTCGTTACGACTGAGTTTTAATACTGGTTTGGCAATTACCAATAATCTACTTTTCGTTGTGTTTGAAAACATTTTTTCCGTAAAATGATCACTGCATACTCGATTACTCCAATATAGTTTTTCAGCTTTTAATACAAGATCCAAACGGTCGCAAGCCTCTGCCCACTCTTTAGCTCTGTAATTTATAAATGTTCAATATAAAATAAATAATAGAAAAGTTATAAATTATTGTTATATTTCATACAAAAACTTAATCATCTAATACGTAACACATCTTTCAATGAAGGAAAAAGAAAAACGATAAATAAGGGATAAAAACTCAAAATTAAATTAAAGACGTTTAAAGAAAGGGAAAAAAGGAGAGAAATTAATGGTAAAAAAATGTAAAAAAAGATGTAACATACAGGCTGTGATAAAAAAAAAATTATAAAAATTATTTAGCACATATAAGGAATATTTATATAAAAATTAAAAGCAAGGAGAGACAAGTGAGAAAAGATGTGTGTGACAAAGTTTATTGTAAACCAAGTACACTTCTTAGCTATTGTTGCTATAAATTAATAAAAATACTACTACATACCTTTCCTTATCTTTAGGGAAACGAAACAACCGAGGCTTTCCATTTTTTTGCACATTTTTACACGACTTAACGCTACATTGTACGTATCCAGTTTTTCTCCGCGTATTTTTATTATCTTCCGACATATTACATATACACTTGTTTCAACTTGTTTAACCCTTTGATTTAACCAATTTGAATCGATTACGATCACACTTTTAGAACTTAACTTTATCCTAATATCACTGGCACACGGATTTTGCACATACACTCGTAATAACACCCACTGAACTCTATGGGCGGTATTCATAGTCCGTTCTTATATTCAAGATCGTCTTAAGCACGAACTTATAGCGTTTTCGATTATACAGGATTTGAACGACCCAAGATTGGTTAATGACGTCATTGCAACCTCTCCACCAATGAAAGACTTGCATTTATAGTAAAATAGTGATTGATCAAACCTAGATCGTTCAAACCCCGTTTATTCGAAAACGCTATTTGTGTGACGACTAGGGAAGTATAAACGCCCTTATGGCATTCTACGGGCGGTATTCATAGTCCGTTTTTATATTCAAGATCGTCTTAAGAACGAACTTATATTCGCTCTCTTCGTCAGACACAATCTATGTGTGACGAAGAAAGCGAATATAAGTCCGTGCTTAAGACGATTTTAAATATAAGAACGGACTATGAATACCGCCCTACGTTATCAACTCTTAGGG